ATCAACTGAGGAATGGATAAAAAAAGATTTTTTTATACAATGGAGTATTATTCAGCTATAAAGAAAGATAAACTCGAGGCTTTTATAGGTAAGTGGATGCAAATAGAAACTATACTTATACATGAAACAAATCAGACCTGTATGAATAAACATTGTGCTGTCTCACTAGTAGGAAAAAACAAACAGTAACATCCCAAATGTACAATAGATAGGGGAAGAAGCTTTTCAAAAGAAAATCAAACTGTGATAGGGAAAGGGGAAATGAAGAAAGGAAAAATATATGTATATACAAGATAGTAAAGATTGTTATACAGCTAATTTTTCTCAGTTCATTGAAAAGAAAATCTTGTGCTGATATTGTATAGAGAAAATAGCATACATATATCTTCTACCCTGAATAAGTACTAGGAAGACCATACACAATGTCTTAACTGTTGTAAATAATAACTTGTTTTGAAACTTGGTTTCATTGTTATGTTTATCTTTTTTTTTAAAAGGAACGAACAGCTGGGATGGGGTATAGGAGAAAAAGAAGGGAAATAAAAAAAAAAAGAAATACACTTGAAATATAAGATAAATGGATTCTGGATCTTTATTCATCATATTTTAAAATGTAAATTGCTTCTGATAAGTTAAAAATTGTCTCAGTTCTTAATTAATGCTTCAGAGAACTGAGAATGAGTGAAAATATTTTGGTACTGTTTGACTTCCACAGAAAAAGGTGGTGGCACTGCCTAAGCAGGAGGCTGTTCAAGAGGAGGACGAGATAATCCATGAGGATAACGAGTGGGGTAGGAATCCTCTTATAAATTGAAGTAGTTGCCTAAAAAACAATCTTTTGTGGTGGGAAATATAAAATTATGCAAATTTTATATAATGATTGCTTATGAAGTTTCTTCAAACCTGTAACAGGAGTAAATTTAATTCTATAGGTATTGAGCTGGTATCTGAGGTTTCAGAAGAAGAACTAAAAAATTCTTCAGGCCCAGTTCCTGAGTTACCTGAAGGAATTACAGTGGCATATACAATTCCCAAAAAGGTACTTCTAAAATTTAATTTACCCATAAGTAAACATCAGATAAGAGAAAATGGCTTTTTATCTTCTCATTGTAGTTTGTAAGCCAGTGCACTGTTTTCTGTTTTAGATACTGTCAATACTGTACACTACATTAAGATACGAGAGGTATTCAGTGTTCATATGGAGGTGCACACAGCTCATTTTAAATTCTTTGAAAACAGACATAAAACGGTTTTGCTTACTCATAATGGATCAATAGTTTTTGTTAAACAAAAACATTATTTTGTATATAGTTTTGTCTGCAATACCATTTCAGTAAACAATCTATAGAACCTTTCTAACAAATAAGATATACAAATAGCTAACAGGTTTATTTTTAAAATGCTCACCATTTCTTATTAGAGAAATCCAAATTGATTTTGAATGCTTTCACCAAAGAAATGATAACTGCCTCAGGAGGTAGACATGCTTAACCCTGATTTGAAAATAATACAATGTGTATATGTATCAAAGCATCACATAGTGACCTATGAATGTGTAATTTTTATGAAGTTAAAAACATACTTCAATAGACATGTCAAGAATATTAAAATTGCTGCCTGATAAATAAATACTGGTGGGGAAACTCAAGGACTTTGTTTCTCCTTAAAAATTACAAGGCATACTTATTAGAAAATTTATTTTACGTACTTGTTGAGGATGGTTAAAGTTTACTAATTTCTTAGCATAAAGAATTTTATGTGGCTGTCTTCTCACTGTATTTCTCTCATTTGGTGACAGCAAGAAGATTGTGTACCTCAAGTTACAGTGGAAGATTCTGGTGAAAGCTTGGAAGATCTCATGGCCAAGATGAAGAATATATAGATAATGGACTGGCATATATTTTATTTTGTGTTTAATCCCATTGTTGAAATTTTTAAAAGTCTAAACCTAATAAAACTTAGGGCAACATTACTTGATGTATATGTCTTCACTGAATTGTTATACTATACTTTTGAAAATACCATGGGTGTTGTTTATTCCCCTTGTCCTCCAGCTAAACTCTCCTAAAACACATGACCTCAAAACTTTAAGGCAGTTGTAAATCTTTATGAAAATATGGGCATTGTAGCCCAGTGTGGTGGCACATGCCTATTGTCTTAGCCACCCATCAGGCTGGGGCACGAGGTTAGGAGTTCTTAGGCTGGGCAACCTAGTGACTTAGTGAGATCCTATCTCAAATTTTTAAAAATTACTATATGTACTGCCAAAGCAAGCACAAAATTTTAAAAAGGGGCTGGGGATGTAGCTTAGTGCAAAGATCTGGATTTTAATGCCCAGTGCCACAATAAATGAATGAATTAAAAAATAAATAGTTTTTTTGGGGGAGGCAAATCAGATCCTCTTTTTCTTTCTAGTAATCACTTGTACTGTGTTTCCTGAGCACATGGAAAATAAAGTAGTACAAATAATAGAAAGGCAAGAAGTATAACTTACCTATTACAGCTAGCAAGCATCTACTTATTGTTTAGAATTGCTCCCTACAAGCAAATTGCCTACTACTATTAATTTGACCAGCAATGGCTAATATAGTTACATGTAAAATGAAAACATCCCCTCAAATTAAAGAGTGAACTATAAGCGGAAATGTAGCCACTGCAAGTTCATAAACCTGTGTTATAGGGATAAAATAAGACAAAGGCAAAGAAAAGGAAGCTGTCTTCCTGGGAAGCTGTCTTCATGACAGATGAAAGTATTTTCAGAAGTACAAATTATATTTTATTCTGCCTTGACCAAGGAAAATACATCATTGCATTTGTGACATACACTGTATAGCTACAGTAACTGTACTTTATTGGAGAACAAGGAATAAAGGTAGAAATGATCATCCAGATTATGCCCATCATAAAGTTTACTCCTGAATACTTCACTTAAATTTTATTCCAGAAATAATGAGATGCTGGTCATGTTTGTCCTGGATAGTGGACTCAAAAGATTTTCAATTGCTCTGTAGTGACTGACATGTACTTATACTGGGGAAGAGTTTCATTCCCCAGTTGTGACCACTAAACTATAAGATGGTACAAACAGATTTCCTCTATAGTTGCATATAAATAATGAAGGCTTAGAGAGCACTGGATGAAATGAATTGCCAATGGTTTGGAAACTAGTAAATAACATGCAAGTGCAACCATTACCAATAGACTGTTCCATGCAAATCTCCTATTTTGATGATTTTTAAAGAGATATCTAAATTTTGTTTGTAGAGGAAAAATGTAAAAATTTATTTTTTAAAAGTACAAAGTTCTAAAAACTGATTTCAGAACTATGTTCAATATATTGCTTTGATATTCTAGGAGTATGTTGTATTTTCGTTGACAGTGAGATCAGGAAATGGCAAGATATTTCTAGCCTTTAAATTTATGTTTTGCCTTGATAAGTCTTCTACCATTTTTTAAAAGATAGTGTGTTTAGCCAGGCACAAGGCCCCATGCCTGTAATCTCAGCAACTCAGGAGGTTGAGGCAGAAGAATCACCAATTTGAGGCCAGCCTAGATACCTCAACACATCCTTGTCTCAAAAAAATAGGCCTAGCAATGTAGCTTAGGAGTACAGCACTTGCCTAGCCTGCACTAGGCCCTGAGTTTGATCACATACATATAACTGAATTACAGAATAGTTTTTTCTATTTACTAGAACTGTTTTGAATTTTAAAAATGAAATGCAAGCTGAGTATGGTGACATGCCTGTAATCTCAGTACTCAGGAGGCTGAGGCAGGAGGATTGCTGTTGGAGGTCTTGGGCTACACACAAACCAAAAAAAAAAAAAAAAAATCTCTGGAAGCATTATTTATGTTTTCTGGTTTGATACAGTATACAGAACTGTGAATCTTTAGACATTTTATTTGCTCTAACTTGGAACTGCACCCCTTCTGGCATCTTACTGCACTCAGTGTTACCTAATTTAATCTCATTTCTAATATCTTTCATTTATAACCACAATTATTTCAGCAAAGAAATAATTGTGGTTATAAATACCTGGAAACAGGTATTGTCACAACCTTAAGTGCTCTGTCTGAATGCCAGAAAAATTGACGTAGACAGCTGATGAGAAATTGACCATTACTAAGTTGTGCATTACTAAATAAACTGGTGGCATTTGGCCAGATTTGTAAACACTGCTGATTCTAACAGGAAAGAAGGAAAAGCAGTCCTTTTAGTGCCTTAGCACAGAGACTCTACACAATGTCATTCGACCTTTTTCCCTTATTACTGAGAGTTTATGGCTCTGCTAAACTTCTTTATTTAGAAAAAATGTTTTATGGTTTTCTCATGAAAGTACTCTGTGGATACCCAGACACACTGACCAACATGAAAAGGTGCTAACCATTTGAGAATATTAAGGGTGGACTTCCCCAAAATCAGTTTTCCTTTTCATATTTTACTTCCTGTAAAATACTGAAGAGTAATTGTAGCTAGCAAAATTTGGTTGCTATCAATTCAGGTTTGAATTTTCCACAAGCTTTTTGTCATGAAGATGGATGTTAATGAACATAGTATACTTATTTGAGAACCTCAACTATACATACATACATACATGGAGATGTCTCTTACAGCTACTTTTATCTTTATAAGCAGGCATTCTCATGAAACTATATATGTTGGTAGTTCAGTAAATAGATCAAATATAGTTTATTATGTCAGCAATTCAAAATGTAGCAATCAGCCCTCAGCTATAGTTACAATTTTTATGTTAAAGTCACTTTGACTAATGTTACAAGTTTTTAATATTTTTGTTACGTTTTTGAAGCACTTAATTACATCTCTTTGTTATTATTATGGCCCAGGCTGGGTGTTATGGTTAATACACTGTGTCAGCTTGAATCTAGACCCTTAACTAAGTAACTCAACAGTTCTACATCCTGGGTGAAAAGAACATGGCCTTACAGTTCTAGGATGTTGTTCATTGTGTCAACTTGAGAAGTTTAAAAGTTCAACTAAGTGATTCTGCAGGGGGCCAGGGTCCTTGCTTTGTGAACATCCTCAGGCTGTGCAAAGGAGGGCTTCAGAGTAGGTGTGGAGCGTGGGCAGGTAGCTGGCGTGCAGTATAGCGGAGGAAAAGAGGCTTGCTTTGCTCCCCTCCCCCCTTTTGCTCTTGTTGCTGTTGCTGTTTAGCTGCTGCCATGAAATGTTGCCCTCTGCCATGTGCCACCCTGCCTTGGAGCCAGCCGAGTGTGGACTGAAACCTCCACAAACTGTGAGCTAAATAAATCCTTCCTTTCTTAGTTTTGAGTGTTGGGTATTTTGTCCCAGCAATGAGAGAAAATAACTGCAGACACTGGGCATAAAATTCTAATCATCCTGCCTTAGCCTCCCAGAGTGCTGAGTTACAAACATGCACCACCATGCCCAGCCAAGTATATATTAGTCTTAAACTGTTTTCCAGATTCGTGTAGAGTACTGGTCTCAGATTTTTCCTGAAGAAGGCTTTTAATGCTAGTAAATGTAACATAATATTTATAATGCACGAAATTATACCACCAGATAATTAGATTTTAATCTCTAACTGCTTTATTCTCAAAGGAGTGGTTGGTATATTCATGAACTCAGTTATTTACACCTTTCACAGCTGTTAAACCTAGAAAGATATGGTATGGTCTTATTTTGTCTTTCTCCCCCTCTTAACCTATCCTGATAGGGCAAAGAAGGATGATCTTTTTATAAGCTCTTACTTGCTTTTAAATTAGCACTCTAGTACCTTGGGGTTTTACCAATTCTCCTTAAGCTTACATGCATGTGAGTCCAGCTAAATTCAGGTCCTGCTTACCAGCTCTGGGGAAAGGCCTCAGCACACGAATATTTAAGAAGATCCCAAGTGGTGACACTGGTTTCATGGACAACCTGTGAGGGCAAGGCCTCAAAGGATGAGTCGGCACCTTACTGCGACACTAAAGTTTCTCACAGTGAGCACACTACTCAACACTGACAGCATTCAGGTCTTTTAAAAAAGTGTTCAGTGTATTTCTTTAATTATGTGACATGTAGCCCTCATGTATAAAGTGAAAAAAAGAAACAGATTGTACTTTTATTTTAAAACAAAAATACATTTTTTATATCTTTCAGTTTAACAATTCATCTTAGAACCTTACAAATATTAAAACTGATGAAAATCTTACTTTACATAAATATATAAATGGTACAAAATAATATTTAAAATAACTAAAAATACTTAATTTTCAGTATAAAAATGGTAGACCAATTTGAATTTGAGGTAAATGAAGAGACAGATTTAAGTCATTTAAGAAGAAAGAGGAGAATGTCATATTTGTGTGTGTGTGTGTGTATGTGTGTAAGTGCACTAAAGATTAAACCCAGAACCTATGGACACCAGACAAGCACACTGCCACCACGCCGCATGGCCAGCCCCGTCACGTACACTTTGTGGAAAGGTCAAAGAATGCTGAAGAGCTTGGTGTGTTCCTGCACAGATGCCTTTAGACATTATGCAAATAACATAACACAGTAACAAGATAAAATGGAAAGAGCAGACTAGCAGGGGCTGGACCCAATCTGTTGAGGAAGAGTAACAAAATGTAGCCAATCACGGATCCTTGTGACTAATTTGTTTCACTGATTACAATTCAAACCTTTCGTGAAGATTATCCATTTAATTCTTCAAAGTTCTCTTTGAGGCAGAGAATGGGCCAGACTGCTGATGAGAATCAAGACAAGGAGTGAACTTGGCAAGGCTGACGTTACCCCTGGGAGAGAAGCAGCACCGAGCTCGACGCCCGGTCCTGACCGCTGTGCCAGCTCGGGTAAAGCAGGGGTCGAGCACTCGTCGTCCGTTCAGGTCACTTACGTGCCACTGTGTCTACACCCACGTATCCCACGCAACAAGAAAAGTAATTCTTCTAATCCACTTCAGTGACACAATCACAATTTAGTGCAGTTCACAACACACAAATACCAGT